GAAAATTTGGGTTGGAGTTCTTTTGTCGAGTAAAAGATAAGAATAGAAAAAAATCTGTGGAAATTATTGGGCGTTATGCGATTTAATCACGGAAGTCGTGCTGAACGTTTGTCTTAGCTTCTGTAGGGCTAGCAAAAGTTATTGAAATTTATTGATTGATTGTTTTAGTGATTCTGGGTGCGTTAACAACCAAGGTCATTACTCCCGTAAGTGTAATGCATGTTTTTGCTCGGTGGCGGTCTTTCCCTCGCTGTATGGCGCGTTCTGACCTACAGGCCGCTAGCGGGTTTTCTCCAATCAGGTGTCTCCCACCCCACCTGGGACAAGCTCTAAGCTCCCGACCGGTCTCCCAGCATGTGTGATAGTGTAGTGCATAGTATTGTATGTGTGTGTAATGGGGTGAGGATATGACAGAGAAGAGGAAGGTGAGATCGCGCCCTGTCTGTGGCCCGTTTCTTGGGGTACTACTCCGGCATTCGCCTGATGTTGATCGGAGAAACCACGGAAAACTACCGATCAGAGCAGCCGGCCTCTAGACAGGGACTGAATTCAACCTAGCTGACAAGATAGTGTCGAAAATCCTGCCACCGTCGGAGTCTCGAATCACTCGAACCTAGGCCCTCCCGGTCACAGGCACTGCAGTAACATCAGTTGATGCCCTGAACCGGTAGTTTTTGTAATTAGTGCATGGATTTGTAGTTGTTTTTCTGAACAAAAATGAAAAGACATTTTTATATATACATGATAACAATGATAGCGGATGCGAAAAGGTAGGGAATAGTCTCCCAAGTCAATATTACCAATTAAAAATAGAATCCAAGATTTGTACTCGCAATCATTGAAGAGGAAGTTTCTTGCTGAAATCGCAGTCTATCATAACTGCAAAACGTTTGAGAAAAGAAGAAAATAATATTCACTACCCAGAATTGAATGATATTCTTACCTTCAAAATATTCACTGAGAAGAAATGGAATATACTGTGGAAAATAAGTTCCATTAATATTAATTAGAATTTCGAACACTTTCGGCGCCACTTTCATTGTGTTCTCAATTCATTGGGTATATCTAGCATTAAAAATTTGACTTCAAAGAAAAGATTACTTAGTGAAAAGTAGGATTTCCATGAATTAATTTTAAAATATGATAATTCAGTTCTTTTGTTGTGATTGAAGCTTTAATGATGAACATATCAGACACATGGCAAACTTCGAAGAATGTTGAAAGCACATTACTATCCTTAACAGGATACCTTTTTTAAAGATCTATGAACTCAATGATATGGAATTGAAGCGCGATATAAAATCTCTCTCATTATTGGTAACGTTTATAATTTTCTGAAAATAAGAGAGGTCAATGGAATTCAGACCTGTGCCGTAGTGAAATGTGTTCTATCTGAGGAACAAAAATAAAGCCAAAATTTGCAGCCATTGTTCAGAAAATTTTGAATATGTCCCTGTGGCTTCATATAAAATTAAAATACATCCACTATCAAAATAACTGTTCCAAATTCAAGAGGTTGCGACATCAGTTAGATTGATTGGGGTATATCAATTTTGGTGAAAATCCTGCCTACGGTTTAGCTTTGTTGACAAACAAACGGACGTACGTTTGTGTCGTAAATCAATTTTTCGGTAACAATGACCAGGAAAAAGAGTATTCTGCGCAAACAGCGCGATAGAATAAATTATTCACTTTATTTAGGAAAAAAAATAATCCACTTTTTCGGAATCAAGAATACACAAAATCACCTTTTTCCTGTAACATAAAATTGTTTCCGTGTACTATGTAAGTCATATGCAAGAAAGTAAAAATGTACCGCAACAAGCTTAGAAAAATAAATATATATTTTGACTTATTCTACTTAGTTCATTTATGTCTAAAAATAAATATAACTGTATTTTCAGTAGTACGGTAGTACATGTAATTCTTTAATATACTTAATTACAAACATGTGGACAATAAAACATTCTTATCTCGTTAATTAGATCGCTGGTGAGATAGATACCTTTTTATTACGATAAATAAATAAAAATTTTGTCTGGTATCAATACTAGTATTGATACCAGACAACATTTTTATTTATTTATCATTCTTATCTCGTTTTGTAATACTCTCGTCTTCGGCGATGCTTCTAAGGAGCATACTCGTGAACTCGACCGTATTAAATGAAGAGGCTGGAAATTGCAGCAACTTTTTAGTAGATTTTCCTAAAACTTACATTATGGCTTAGAGCACTATTTAAACCTCCCAGAAAAAACTTCTTGAACACTTTTACGTCAACGCAGTTAGACGAAAACATCGCTGCGGCCCGCGCAGAACGGAGTAATTCCACTGTGCGAAGTTCGCAAGAAACGCCACACCTTGTTTCCGCTGACTGCCTCTCTGCCCGGCGAAACAAGTTCAGTGCCCGTGTTTCGCGATGGCCGAAGTTGGCAGGAATGGCACGGAGACGAAAAATAAATGGATCGTGTCACGAGACGAAGCTTTTGTCTTGCGACAAAACATTATCCTCTAACGAACGTTCTTCGTGCTGGGAGCTCGTGATGTTGTTCCACTACCATTTTCATCCTCCCTGTTTTTCCTTCCTGGAACAAAAATTGCTTATTGCCCTCGTTTAGGTCGCGTTTTCATTAGATGTCATCTGGTGCCTAGATCTTCATTAGTGTGTACTATCAAGAACAGCCTGTATCCCTCTTCACTTACTTCCATACAAGGAGAGGCAAGTTTATATACGGTATAATGGCTTGCTGACATGAAGTTAACAGGACCATCTTTGCTATGATGTGTAGAGATCGTTATAAAAGGTAACCAGCTTCTATTTTAAATAGTTCCTAGAACCGCCTATTGGGGTCTGTGACTGCTGATAGTTTTGTTTCTTTTAGTTAGGATTGAAACAAACAAGGTGATAAAAAGTACTCTTCGAAAATGGTGTCAGTTGTGACGGATTGATTTCCGACAGTTTGCCATCGCCTCGAGAGAGTTCTTGTAAGTTCTGAGGAATTTTGTAACTGCGATTCGATCCATAGAGCTAGTGCGGTGGCGCGTCGATCGACGGTCGATGTAGGAATCTATAGTGGGGAAGGAGACGCATTTAGGGCAGTTGGCGACGACGAATCGCGACGCGTAGTTGCACAGAAGCAGGCTTCGCATTTTTCCTGCCGACTTATCAGCATTTGAAATATCATGTTCGCTATATTAAGAGGTAAGATTTAAACACATACTTCTGAAAGATGATGTAAAGTGATTGGGTTATTATATAATGAAGACTATTTAACCTCAACTTACGAACGCGTTCATACTGCCCACGTAGAATTTGCAGCAGGAAATATAGATTCTATGGAATGGCAACATACATACTAATAGGGGTCGTTTCAGTTATTAAATCCGTAATATAAGTATGTGAATTGTATTCAGAGTAAAGGAAATGGTAACGTGCGGATTTTCATCGAGAAAAAAACAACTGAAAGCATTGCAGGCTACGAGTCGATGAGAGAGGCAAATAGCGTCTTTCCGGAAGTAAGAGAGGGTTTATAGCGTTACTTTATGAAAAATGTTTACAATATTTTGCACAGCAAAATAGACAGTATTGAGAAAGGACGGCTGTCACTAGTCGGGAAACTGAAGAATTTGTGTGGGCAAGGGCCGCGTATCTGGCCTCAAGGTTACTCGAAATGCAGTTCGGCTATGAATCTCTAAGAAGGGCAGAGAATCTAGCATTTTAATATTTCAGTTAAAGAACGTGAGGATTGTTTTAGTATTACACAAAGAAGTAATCGCTTATTTAGGAATAGTTACAGTAGAAACTATCAACAATGGAAGGACGTCTAGTTATTTGCATTCATATCCGAATAATTCATAATGGAAGGAAATTCATTATTCTTGTGATTACGTAATATCTGCTACCAAGTCACTGCATTGCGGCTCAATAATGGATATTATTGATCGATCAAAGATCTGATGTGTGATGTTAAAGTTACATTATATAGTGCAGTGTAAATATTAATTATTGATTGTAAGTAGTAGTGGTATTAGGAAACGCGTTGATTCTTTCAATATTTGGAATTCGAATACGCCTATTATTTGCCAAGACACATTCAGTTCCTAGGTTAGAATGATGTAAGATAATAATAATAATAATAATAATAATGTTATAAAATATTGTTCATTAATAACAATCAAGACTTGTCATTGCATATAGTAGAATGTAGAGGAGGGATTTATTTGGTTTTCAGGCTATTTTGTGAACTTTAATGATTGTGCTTGTTGAAGGTTGATATTACTGTACTTCAAAAAAGTTTATAGATATTATTGTAATTTGTTTCAGAGTATATTTTTAGTGTAATTATGTCTACAGAGTGGTGTTTTCTTGTCTGTATGACCAATATACAATTATTTATTTGAAGTGATTTCTGGTAATTCTTGTGTAATATAGTGTTTTTGAAATCATAACCTACCAGTGGCTATTGGGTTACCTTTATTAACTTTATTTTCATTAAATATTTTAATAATGTCATGGGACGTAAGGTTTTCGAAGTTTCTACACTCAGTCACGGTAGGAGCAAACATGGACATTTTCAGGATGAGATACATATTCACGCCCTATGAAATTGAGGTCTGGATGGAAAATCGTTGAGAGAAGTATTGGGTGAAAATTAAGCCACGCCAAGATTTTGGAACTTCTGTGAGAATGTGAATTGTTTATTTTGTAGCAAATACGCCAGAAAATTCTTCGACATTTTCTTCGTTTCCTAATTCGATGCTCATATTTTTTAACATAAACGTTATCTGTTCATTCTAGCTGATGTGATAATTTCATTTTATTCCATCAGTAAGTTGATGTAAAGTTACGCATGTTAGTGCTGATAGTATTGTAATTTCTCGTACCATACATATATTTTCACGCATAAGTATTTCCCATAAGCATTTCCCATTTTCTTGCACAATAATATATTTTTCGCATTTTCAGTAATAAAAAATATAGATTTTATAGAGTGGAATGCAATCTGTGGCTTGTAGCAATAAGAGCCAATGAATACAGTCTTCAGTAATTTTCAGTTTGTATGTCCAATGTGGGACTTAGCGCCCCTTCTCTCTCTTCAAGAAAGGTCGAAGTCAAAAGTCGATCTTATCCTCAAATATCTAATTTCACATTGATTTACACTGCTCTACGACGGTTTCGTTACTTTGATGGAGTAGGGAAACCTCTCATTCTGTACAAATTTCAATACTTTCATTGATCCTTCTTGCTGCACACAGATATATTGGCCTACACCACAAAACTGTCCTTCACATCGACATCTCGCCCAGAACCTTGCAGCTCTCCATCAAAACAGGAGACAAAGCGGTTTCGCCTCGCTTGCACCGCTCCCTCCATCTCCTCTTCCTCTCTCATTCCCAACCACCTCCACCTCCCAATGCCGCCGTCAGTCTCTCTGCGTGTGCCGCCCGCGGGCGGGCAGCAACGCAGGGATTCCGGCGTGGCCCGCAGCGCCGCTTGTCTGATGGACGTGATACGACTGCTCGGCCGCGAGCCGGCATTCCACGCCCTCTATGGCCTCCTAACCTTATTTACGTAGCGGCTCCCGCCGCCTCCAACCTTCCTGCCTGGAAATGGCAGCGCTCGCTGCCTGCGAAAATGTTAACGGCTCCGCGTCATTTTCAGTTGACGAATAGATTTTGCAACAAAACTGCTGTTCTTTTGGAAGAACTAAATTATCGCAGTTAAGGTAATACCATGAGAACTCTCGCATGTTATCCATCCTTTCCCTATCCATTTGCCTGTCCTTTCCATGAAGGAGGAAAGTTATTAATAAGACGTGTTTATTTGTTTAAAAATGTAAAAATATAACATTGTACTTACAGAATATCCAACAAAAATAAAAACAATTCAATTAATCTTGGAAACAAATTTTCAATATCGGCTTATTCAGTGTTATAGAGATATGTTCTTCGAATAATTCACTCTTCCTAGAAAACAACGTTTGAAGTCATTATTCAATCTTCCTTGACAGTTAGCTTGTCGCTTTCTTAGAAAAATGCTTTTTACTCTTCCGAAAGCCAAGTAAAGTTTAACACTTTAAAATGATGTAAAATCTCTGTTCTTCAACGTGGTAAGAAATTCGCTCGTATTAGCCGATGTATCAGAGATGAACTTTGACATACCTCGCCGGATGTGTAATTGATAAAAAGCAGCTGTGGTATTCATACTACCGGAAGTAAAGAATAGGAGCAAATCGTATTATTTTCAGCACAGTTTCTCTGCCGGTACGATTGACAACCAAGCTAACTTTAAGTTTTGAAAAACGACCCAATATAAAGATAACTTACATTCAAAAGAATCAAACTCCGTTGGATTGATATCCAAAGGAGAAAGAAAGAAAGGAGGGGGAAGTCAACCTAACCTTGAACAGTCAATTTATTAAAGTAAATAATCGTAAGCCATCGTCAATAATAATATTAAACACTCTAGAGCAACAATTCGATCGTTTAACCCATACAAATAACTTAAATGCTTCTTTAAAATTTTTAAGCAGCCCCTCATCTCATTAAGAGTTTTTCTGTATTACTTTCAGTTATTCCAGTATTTCAACATTCAATATCATTAACAAAATGTCATTCCACCAGAAGTATTGCTAGGTCTTCACTTTTAAATAATGAAGCTAGGTTAATGCACCATTCATGGTTACGAATATTGCATTCATATTGCATCATTCAGTTTGTTTCTTATTTGCTTAATTACCACATTCCTGGCAAATATGTAATGAAAAGCAGCATTCACGTCAATGTATTGAATCTGCAAACAGGACAATATCCAAGTGACTTGAATAATGTAAAATAGTAAACGTCCAACTTTGTGAAAAAATAAGGAATAGATGGAATCAGCGACGATTTGCCTGTCCTCATAAACGTCACTGTGAGATGAACAGCATCATTAGCTGAAAAAGCCTCTGAGTAGTGTTGCAAAACCATGTAATGGATGTTTCAGACTTACAGTGGTGATGATAGCAGAGAATATACTTACTGATAAACATGATACAGCTATTGCCTGAAGTTCTAACTCTTAATCTAGTTTAAATGTCTTTTTTTTCATAAGAAACATTGCCAATGGCTTGATGCCAAACGAGTGTTATAAAGCTCTTTATCCCTTCTGTTTAAAATGACGAGAACGAAGAACTCTGCAGAACCTACATACTTTCCAGTTACACAGGATAATAATAAGTTAATTTGAACTTGTTTGTAACCTTTGGCGAAACTCAACAGAAAACACATTGCATTAAGCCAAATATCTTGTAATTGCCTTGTACACATTGTAATAAGCTGAGAGTGATCTTGTGAGAAGCATTTGTGAGTGAAGTGAATTACAGCTAGAAAAAGCTTATCAATATTGTTAATAATGTAATATTTACTTTTCTAATGAAGCAGGAAAATTCCAAAACTAGTTTTACAAATTTATTTAACGTAGATCATGAAATCTTGACGCAGTGGTAACAATAAAAATGTTCAAGGTCTTCGTTTCTTCAAGCGATTCTAGTATACAAAGTAAAAGAAATGGTATCTTACATCTAATTACAAATATATAGTACGTGTTTCAAAGCATGAAATGGGAAGGTTTCAGAAGATGGCAGTCAGTAATCTTTCCCACTGCAAGATTAAGACAAATCCAATGATATACATACGAGTATTGTCCACCCCTTTAAATGAAGTTGAAATAACAATCTTATATCAATGCATACTACTTATGACCAATCCGTATTTTCAGTCCTTAAGTCATTCAAAAGACATGAAAATGCGGAAGGGTGGAAAGCAGAGTTCAGGAAAAAACTACAACAGTTTTTGATTGCGCTAGCAGGGGCAGCGCTGCGTGACCTTGCGTGTCGGACTGATAAATTCAAAATGCCCGATGAACACTAGTTGTAAAAAAATCAAAATTTCTCAAAAAATTCTTATCTAACATATGACAATATGTATGTCATTGGGTTTCTCTTTCTACACTCTTCGTGATAGACTGAAATGTGTGTGTATATACGAGATATGAGGTAACTCTGTTTCTTCAAACGGGATTATACATATATTTTCAGTCTATCATGACGAGCATAAAAAAAGCAATTCAATGTTATACATATTCCAGTCCCTTGATATAAATATGTATAGTTTTTGTTAAAAAAATTGTCACCTCGAGTATCTCGTAAAATACAATTGTTA